TGTCAGATAAATGCATTCAAATACTCAAAACAGCACCGACACCACAAATATGGTCAGAATCTAGTTTAGTGGCTCCATTTAGCTAAACAATTTTAGCTGAGGCCTGCAGTTTTTGTCACTTCGCTGGATTTATTTTTCTGCCCTTGAGACCCATGCTTTGTTTTGCCTCCTGAACAAAAGGGTTTAGCCTCCCAACAGGAAAATATGTAGAAAGTGTACGGTTAAAACTAAAGTGCACAGAAAAGTTTTTGGTCACAACTTGTCTTCATCACTTGGCAACTGGCCACAACTGTACAGTAAGGTATTCAGATAACAGTGGAATGGGTCATGTTGTGGCAGTATGTACAGTAACACTGGTTAGAGTTCAGAAAGACCGGAGCAGACACAGAGGCTCCGGAGGCAGATCAAACATATCTGGGATTCTGTTTGTTCAGATCTCCAAAAGCAATATGGAAACAGTATGACCGAAAGAAAGTACAAATACACAGTCAATGTTTCAATTTTGAAATACTCGCCTTAATCTTTTCCATGTCCTACATGCATGTATCATTATTAGCAACATTTCTGCTATCTTTCTATCTGCATATCATCTTAGAGCACAAGACTTAAGTTTATCTGAAGAATAAGATCTCGTTTTTAGCCAGTGCTTCCTTAATTGGCTCTAACTCTCCGTTTCCCCGTGGACATTCTCCATATGGACTTTGAGGTAGTCGTTCCTGGTGAACTTCTTGTGGCACAGCTGGCACTCTGCCATCGGTCGGTTGGGGTTGTGCGTCAGCTTGTGCCTGCTGAGCATCTTCTTCAAGCTGAATGAAAGGTCGCAGACCTACAGAAAACAACAAATAGAGGATTATAGGAGTCATAATTACAGTATTTAAACACACTTTAAACATCTGTTCACTGTAGAGCCTCTGCAACAAAAATGGGACACGCACTTGGCAACAGAAACGTCTCTTTTCTCCACACTGGTAGCAGGGGGAGGGGGGGGATGCACGCAACTTAACATCCATCTTAAATGAGGCATTTTACACTGTACAAATGACTTCAGGGCCCTCTATCAATCAGGATAATCCGCCAATGGCTGGCGTTCAGCTGCAGTTTAACATACAGCTTGGAGAATCGCAGCATGTGTCCTCCTCGCTCCATCTGCGAAGAACGTCAGCGCGATGAATTACATTCAGAAAATCTCACAGACAGCTTACATCTGTGGGTGAACGGCAAATATAGAAGCTATGAATGAAAACAGCAGAACCATCACATGATACCATTCCAATAGTTTATCAGGTGGACTTCCACATTTTCATTGATGCGCTATCATGTTGTCGTTTATGTTGCTCCGGCAATCTATAAATCTGCTGCTGTGTCAGGAAAAATATGTTCAATTTTGCAAAGTGAAAGAAGGACAGCAGCTGATGAGAGCGAGAGAGAGAGAGGGGCCTCCACTTCTCATGGTATCCCAGATGTTGCTTGATGCTTCGACAACATTTTAATGCTGGTTTGACAGACGCTGCATTCAGAACCCCTCCAGCTCGTCTGGAAAATGTTCCTGGGACTGTGTGATCTCTTTGTCTGACTCAAAATCCACCCCAAAATAAAATCCACATGTTATTTCTATTATTTCTAATAGTTTATATGTTGAATTATTTCTTCCAAAGCTGGGAAAAAGAATCCAGATGAACGCTTGATGTTGCCGAGAGACACGTTCCAGTGATGCTTCACCGGAGATGAATGGGATACTGATTGTGTGTCCTCAAACGACAACTGTAGATGATTCTCAGTGCATATGGGCGCATATGCTGTTTTAGAATTCAACGATGTTGTGGATAGAGGATTAGTGGCGTGTTAAAGCTCAAATGATACTTTAGGAATCCAGACTGGTGCTTTAAGCTTTGTTTGAATAAGACACGCTTGGAATCTACAGTTACGAGCTTAAAGTACTCTGCGTGACTTCAGCGTCCACATCAAAAGTCAACAAAAACGGGATAACAGAAGTTGCATCAATTTGAAATCTTCTGAGCTTTTGCCTTGAAGACTTTCAGCACAGGGAAAATCCATGTGAGTCGTATTATTATCATAGTTTTGGTTTTGTAGCAGTTTTAGTCAGTGTCTCTTTTTAGTTAGATCACTCACCTTATTTCTTAGTGTTGAGCTTTTTCCTGTATTTCCTGTGATTGTGTTGTTTTATTTTCTTTGTACATGGCATAAGTTTGCTCTATATTTGCTTCAACTTGAGCCCAGTGGTAGCATTTTTAGGGTCTACTGTAACAGGCCATGTTTTTGTTGAACTTTAGGCTAAAATAAATTTGCATAAGAAATAAACATTCATATTTTACAAGACTAGAATGGTTTAAATATGCATTATCAACTCCACATGGCAAACTAGTGTAAGCAACATGAAAACATGCCATGGTTTATCTTTATTATATAATGCAGGTTTACTAATTCTTACTGTTTCTCATTTAATATCCCTGTAGCCATTTTTGGCAGGTGGGGATCAGACAGGCCTCTGCTGCTGATCACCACCAAAATCACCCAGCCCTTACAGCAAGTGGTGGGTCTGCAGGAGGGGAGTGTATTTTGGACATATTGTACCATAAGAAGACTCCTGGGCCGACTCCAGACACACCCGAGAGATTATGTCTCTCAGCTGGTTTGGAAATGCCTCGGTGCTCTACCAGAAGAGCTGGAGGAGGTGGCAGGAGAGTGGGAGATCTAGGAATCTCTGCTTAGACTGCCCGGATAAGTTGCAGAAACTGCAGCTGTGATCTGAAGTTTACAGACACGCCAAGCCCTTTTAACTTCTTGATAGTACCAACACTTGGAACCATGGGACAGTCTCACGTTTAAGGAGAACTGTCTCTTGGAGCCATTTCTAAACAACTGCAGATTCCAAGATCAAGAGTTCAAATAAATGTATTTAAATACAAGTTGTTCAAATGTGTCACCTCTTTTTCAAGGTCTGGAAGAAGACTGAAAGTGTCACCCTCAGATGAGAGGAAACTGGTTAGGATGTTCAGGAACAATACAGGAACTACCAAGGCTCAAGTATGCTGGAAACTGCTGGAACAGCAGCAACACTATCCACAGTAAAATAAGTTTAAATCTCCATGGACTGAGCAAGTGCCCACCAAGACTTCAAGCTCAACTGAAACTCGCAGCTGCCCACATGGGCATGCCTTCTGGAGAAAATATGGTCAGACAACACAAAGATTGAGCTATTTGCCAACAATGATAAGAGGTATGCTTGGAGGAGTAAAGTTAAGCTTTCAAACATAAGATTACCGTACCAACGTTCAAGCATGGTGGTGGTAGCATCATGCTCCCAATCTGTTTGGCAACCAGTGGTCCTGGGACATTGTGCAAAGTGAATGGAATAATGAAGAAGAGGAACTAGCTCAAAATTCTACAACTTCACCTCGACTAGACTTGGAAAACTTGGAAACAGCTGAGTGTTCCAACAGGACAACGATCCCAAACAGACATCAAAACTGTATAAATCAGGCTAACTTTAAGCCTCAATCTCAACCCAACTAAAAATTGGTGCGTTATGCTTAAAAGCAGAGTCTATGCGAGGATACCGCCAGTTTAAATGACTTAGTGGTCAAATATCCAACCAAAATTCTGCCAGAAGTTTGTTAATGGCTAACAAAACTGTCTTGCTAAAGGACATTTAACCAAATATTAGGGGGGATGTATGTATATATTGCAGTCTGTATCTATACTTTTGACCCTGTGTGGATTAATTAAAATCCCCAATAAATTCAAATTTGTTTTTTAGTAATTAAAAATATATGCTGTATAATCATTCCACCCTGGAGAAAGCATAGTTCAAAGAAATCATTAAAAGCCCCAAATTAACATGACATCCAGGCTCGTGATGAGTGTATGGAAACTTCAGACCACAACTGTGGATGGATGGATGAATGATTTGCTGACGCTTGCTAAAGCAGTGACGCAACCCCTTTGTTTCTCTGCCGTGGCTGTCACATGATCCTACTGATATGTCTCTGTCACCTAATCCTCTTACTGTTTTGTGTATGTTTATATTTATGTACCAAGTTGCTGCACTTTTTAATACATCAAAGTCATATTGATGGCTCCATTGTGAAGGTAATGTGAAGGTAATGTGAAGGTAATGAAAGCAAAGAAAATAGGGAGTTAAGGGAGTTGTCACATGGGAAAATTAACCTGCTTGATGAGTCGGTGAAGATTTGTGTCATGATTTCGCTTTCAGAGTTACATTCCTAATTTTGAAAAAAGGCATTTTCAGCTCCTGTTTGTTATGTACTGATGAATAAACAGGAAACAGTAACTGCTTTTTATACTGAAATCCCTTGAAAACCTCACAATTATTAGGCAAGTTTTAAATAACATCTCTTTTTCTGTGATTTCAAAGAGACTTATGTATATTTATTCACGATAGACATGAGAGATAATGATGTTCTTGGAAAGTGTTAGTCACACTAAACCAAAAAAATATGTGTAGCATCTGTGTGTACAGATTGGACTGTTATGACTAGAAGCGGCTTACATGAATGAGTGTCTCTGTGACCAGGTCAAATCAACAGAAAAAGCTCCAACAAAATAACTTTCTTTTCAAAGTCTGTAAACCGTTGCTTGAGAATAAAAAAGCAATCGCAATGTTAATAATGTTTAAAGGTGTCCTGCGACCCAGACCCCTGTATTGTTTAGCCAGCACCATAGTTCGGCGAGTTCAACTTCCAGGACAGTTGTGGCTTTATAAATGAAAAACAGAAAACGCAAAATTGGACAAAAACAAAAGCAGGGAGAAAATTTTTCCAAACACTAAAAACAAATTCTGTCGCGTGTTCTCTCCTCAATCTCTGAGAATAATTATTACTCCTGCAGCATTATAAGCAGAGAGTAATTTCTCCCTCTGATCCTCTAAATGTGTTTATGTGAATCAGCCCACTGGGCCCCTCTAAAGAAGAAAGATCGCTATCCGCCTCTAAGTGAGCCCCAACTCTTCCACACATCTGGCCCTATGCCAGTAAAACAAGAAAGAACAGACAGTGGTTGATGGTACGGAGGACCAAAACCGCCAAAATTTTTTAAAAAGACCAATAAATTGTTTAAAATGTAATTAAATTAAGAATTAGATATGACATAAATTGATATTTCTGCTTTAACTTGTTTTTTGGGAAAATAAATGTTGTAATAACTCCCCCATTTATTTTCTTTTTGAGTAAATTTCCTTTCCATTTCTGTTGTGATGCTCGCATCAGGCAACCAATAGACACAAAGTTGAAATAAATGATGAATATTTAGTTGAATTTATTTTTCTTTTAATTCTTTAGGCACATTTATAGCTATAATTAATTTTCTGAGTCAATTTATTGGGTCAATTTGTATATTTTAGGCAGTTGCAGTGTTCCACAGAGCTGCGCACTCACATCACATTGAAAAGGCTTCTCTCCTGTGTGAGTCCTCATGTGCTCGTCCAGTCCTCGTTTCTGACTGAAGGCCTTGTTGCACTCGCTGCATTTATACGGCTTCTCCTGCAGTGAAAAACACACAAAGGCACACATTTAAAGAGGGCACTTTGTCTGTCAGTGTACAGCAGAAAAATACATTAAACAATAATTCACCAGCTTTGGTCGCATATGGACAAAATCTGGAGGGAAAAGTGTAATGACAGACATATGTACAAACAGGCATGCACAGCACAGTGGAAAACACAATAAGATGTGGAAACACATACATTCACCTTCACGCACTGATGTTTTCTCACTTCACACCACAGCGGTCTCCCTGTGCGTTTATGAAGATATGAAATGAAAGATTGTACAGTGCCTGCAGTAGAGAGGAAATGAGCACCATAGAGGCCATCAAAAACACATGGATTCCTCAAAAGAGAAAGGAAAACAAAGGAGAGAAAATCTCTTTGAACGCGTATCAGTGCACTGGCACTCTGGGGCTGTAGAATATCACTCCTGCGTCTCCACACCTCATCGGTTTACCGAAGAACATTTCCTCTACGCCTTTCGGAGGCCTGTCTCACTGTCAGTCAAAGCAGCTATCTCACAGTGGGTGTGTTCACAAAAATCTCCCAAGTATGCCTGTGTGTGTATGTACAGTCGAACGGTAGGCGTGTGCTCCCCACTTCGAGGGGAAACGGCGGTGACACCTAAAAGACTTGAAGAGAAATAAGACGCATGTAGATAGCGAGGAGCTGTTTCCCAGTGTCACTCTTTGGAAAGCTGTTTTTGACGAGTCTGGCTGATAGCAGCGACTCTACCCATTTAAAGCTTAGTTGTCATGGGAACAGGGTGAATGCAGGAAGTTAGGGTCCTGGGAAAGGCACTATCATGTGGGCGGGGCAAGGAGCGCCCAATGACACAGGACACAAAAGGAGGTAAAGATCAGGTCCGCTGCATGAGCGGCTTTAAGTATGCAACAGTTTGTGTGAATGTGACTGAATAAAAGGGACGATAAAGCTGGGTCTGTGTGTGTGTGTGTGTGTGTGTGTGGGCGAGAGACCGCCGTCTCAAGGAAACAAACTCTGTCTTGATCAGTGTGATGCAAATTTCCACTTAAACCTGCAGCCATAACAAGTTCACTTCTTTTTCCATCAGGGGAGGAGGGTTCTTCTATGAAAGACTGAAAAGGTCAGTGTTCAAAGGTCCCGAAACACATGGATGGACTTAGGTGATGTGGTGTACCCAGAATGCATCACTACGACCCCGGTAACATCGAACATCTGTACCTGGTGGCCTTCACTGTTCAGCAGCTGTTCCCCCTTTGACATCTGACCTGGCCATTCGTCTGGATCTGACCACTCTCCAAAAAAGTGCACATCTATACATGCAAGGATGGAGTCTCGTTTAATTACTCCGACAGAGCACATCTTCTCGTATGACATTTGAAAAGCTGGTATTTGTAAAGCAGCATGCCAACGGCACGTTGTTGTACTCTATTAGGCTTCAGGCTCCAACCAGATATCAACAAACAGCCCATTGTAGGTTTGAATGGTTTTCAGACATGCTAGCAGCACGGCTCCAAGCTGTGTCAGTCTGCCAGTCTGTCTGCTTGGTTGTTATTTTCCTCTCCTTTGATCGAGAACGGAATATCTTAACAAATACTGGATGGAGTGCCGTGTTCTTTTGTGCAAACATGCGCTGTCCTTTTTTGTCTAGAACCACAACAAGATTGTATTATTGTGGTTCACAGTGAAATGCCAAAAACAAGAAATCGCACTCGGGCCTTCATGGCTTCAATCAATATTAGTCGGTGCAAAAAATTTGCAAAGGTGCAGTGTCAGCTTTGAGTTAATGTGCAAAAACTGTATTGATTATGATGTTGCCCAGAAAACAAGGAGAAACTGAATGTATTCAACATCGTTCATTTTGTGGTTTAACGTAAAATTGTTTTAATTATAAAGGTGGTGACATTATCAAAATGACAAGCATAATAACAAAAATGTGTTTACCAGACATATCCCAACAGGTCTCTTATTAACACAACCTGAAAGCTACAAATGTAATGTTATCTACACACTTTTTCTTGTGTCTGTTTTTATGTTAATTGTCTTAACTTAATACTTTTATTAGAAATTACAGTCTTAGGCTAAAACATTTAAAAACTTCCTTTCTTGGAAAAAAAACTTGAGAAGAACATCCCACCTTATTTAAAGAGGACCAATGATGCAGCTCTAGCTTTTTCTTGATCTCTACTAGAGTAGCTTTGCATGATTAATTATTAAAGTTATTCTTTATTTATCTTTTGAATGGAAGATGAATCCGAAAGATAAATAATTCAGAACCAGGACACGCTGGAGAAATTATATCTCTTAGCTGGCTTGAGAGTGCCTGAGTGTAGCTCCTGGATGAGCTGGAGGAGACGTCCAAGGAGAGAAAGGTTGAGACTTGATGGATGAATGCGTGTATGAATGAATGACTAATTGAGCTTGATGCACCCACTCAGGTCATCCGCTATCTTAAACAAACAGTTTTAACTCAACTCCATTTAATTTTATACATTTTTAATTCTATCGATTTTTTTAATGTACTGTATTTTTCAGACCACAAGGCACACCGGATCATAAAGCGTACCGTTGATGAACGTCTGTCTGTTTTCATACACTAGATTATAAGGCACATTAAATGAAACAAAACAGTCAGATAAGTCAAACTTTACTCAACTCATTCTTCTTGCTTCCTCCACTTCCGTACCATTGATTCATTAATGTTGAATTCTCTCGCAGCTGCTCTGTTCCCATGTTCTTGCAGTATATTAATGACTAACCTCGTATTGTGTATGGATGATCTCAGTTGTTGTCCTGACTGAAGTTTGGTCCGTTTACAGCATACTCCGCGAGGCTCCTGACTACGGTAGCTGTAATGCTCCGACAACCCATCAAGTGGTGCAGCTTCATAGCTTAACAAAGTCGTACTAAAACATATTTTGACAGATTTTTGAGTGTTGTGTACCACATAAAATCAGCAACCAGAATTCATACATAAGGCGCACCGGATTATAAAGCTCACTGTCAATTTTTGAGAAAATGAAAGGATTTTAAGTGCGCCTTATAGTGCGGAAAATACAGTATAGAACGCTTAATCACAACAGCAGTTGCTTTATATTATAAGATAATAATATGAGATTATATTATAACAATAATGTTAGTTCCATTATTATTTAATATGTATTTATTATTAAGTAATACTAATTAATTAGAGCTATCCTTTTTCCTTTAACATCATACAGAGCCAGAAAAAGGCGTCTAAACCCGAGAGCTTGTCTCACATTAATTAACTGTACATTTGCAGACCTCACTTTTTGAAACTTGGCCATGTTTAGTATGAGCATACACACTGGCACAATACATATTAACAGAAACTAAAGAAAGGCATAATAGATCACCTCTGAGACTCACGCATGAATCAGGTAGAGCTAAAGCCTTTTGGGAAACAGTGAAAGGGGCTAATTTCATGAGTAAACCTTAGTGTGACACATTAGTCTTATTAAACTTACATATAAAGCATTAGCATTTAGAAAATAGGAAACTGGGGAATTGGAAATTCTATTCCATATGGCTGAAAGATGACTGGCTAATGTTTCTGTAACCACAGAACAAACAGCCATATCAGTTTTTATTGAAGATCATAATTGTTTTAAAAATCCTTTAACCTCCAAAATATCGTCATCAGACGTGTTCCATTTAGGTTTGCAGATGATGTGGTTTGCGGTATAAACACAAATCACACAATCTCCAGTCACATCCATCTCACATCATCTGTACATTAACAGTGAGCTGCAGCTCTTTCAGCCAAATGACATTAATTTTTCTCAACTGTGACTTCATCTGCCTCTGCTGTGTGTAACTGTTCAGCCCATTTCTCCGAGCGCTGTGAGCGAAGGCAGATCTGGGACGCTGGGAACAAAACATCAGTCAGTTTAATCAGCTGCACGCTACAAAATCATACCTGCGTGTTCTTACGGAGTCACAGCAACCTGGGCAGGTTACCTTCATTATCGGCACAGTGTAACATAGCGATGTGCTCTGGACAGCATTAAAGAAGAACAAATCTTTGAAATTAACTATGCTGACAGGCTTCGATTGTCACAGTCAGAGTTGTATAAACCGATGATGGAAGTCTATGATGAAACGCATATTAGGTCTCATTCGTCAAAAGTGACACTAACGCACACATCCAGATGGTTACAAAGAGCGCATGGAAAGTGTCGCTTTGGCAGAGAACTTTAGTGGGTTGAGAAATGACGCAGGAAAATGAGCCGTGTCCCAGCACAGGAAATGACCTCATGACATTTAGAGGGAAGCCTACCTTTTCTTTTCTCCATCCCAAACATGGCCTCATTTTGCAATTACATGTTCACACCATAAAACAAATGCTTGTTATGAATTTTCTACATCCTCAAACAGCTGTGTCTGCTTATAACGAAGTAAAAAAAAAATCTCTGAATGTGTTCAAAGCAAAGTGCAAGCATTTATTTTCCAATTCTCTCCCCTGTCTTCACTACACCACTGCTGCCTTTTTATCCATAGGCCTTACTGGACAAATTATGAAACTGGTGGTTATTGCCTTATAATTAAATTTACTGGGAAAGTCACATATGTTAGACACGGAGTTCTCACACACTATCTTGCATTAGGTAAGGTGTGTGAGAGTTAATTCCTTCTTCACGCAAACGCTGCACTTTACACAGTGGTACACAAAAGAAAAACCCAAAGTGTGCGCTCAAGGTAACCGTGGAACAGAGCCGGCATCCCATTCACTCTTTCTGTGTCTGCACCTATTCACTGCCTTATCATCCTTTATCTAATCCGTCTGAATTATGCATGGCAGGTCAAATGTCTATTAAGCAGACATCACATATGCTGATCTATTTACTTTTTGAGGTCAAAAAGAATAGTACCAGCCACCTGGTTGGCTTGTTAATAATATCAGTGAACCTAAAAAAACCTCACAGACAGACAAGCAAAGACAGTCTCTAGACTCATTATGTCTTCTGTAGAATGGCGAACCACTGACAGAGG